ACTGCATGTACATTTATCATTAAATGATTGTACCTGTTGTTTAAGAAAATGACCTTGAACACTTTTTCCGTTGTGCTACTACATAGCGTGACATATCGTTGCTGGTTAACAAATACACTGCTTCTCTCAACTTCCTCGTTCTGTTTTCATTCGAGATTGAGTTAACGAGATATAAAACAAATATTATTTACATTCATAGACTGTGAGAGCGAATACACCATATCTTACTTTGGATTACACCACTGGGGAGTTCATCGATACGTTTGGAATTACCAAGCATCTATAATTGTGGATTTATTGTACCAGATTAAAGCCGAACACGCATCATTTTGGGTGAACTTAAGTAAAGTCCCATTTTTATTGTATTTGTGACATTTAACTGATATATATTAATATTACTATTGCTTTTTATTAACTTTGTTGATACTTTTTGTGTTTATATATCATCTGGTCCACCACACTATCAATAGATAAAGTGAAGAAGCTTCTTCTCAGACGCCCGATAAATGTTTGCCTCATGTTTAACTACGGACTCTATGGGCAAGTAGATGAAGAAGAGAAAGGACATCTAGATCTATAATTGAACATATTACAATGAATTTTTCTACCTCTTTTTAAATGACTTACCTAATCCATAATTTATACTTCTAAACACATTGAAGCTAAACTCCTTTTCAACCCAACAGCATGATTTCAGAAAAGATCACTTCTGTATAACCAATCTGCTGGCCGCGGTGAACAGATGGACGACCATCCTTAATCGCAAAGGGAAGGTAGACGTCATATACCTTGACTCCTCAAAAGCTTTCAATAGGGTCAACCGTATATGCCTTATTAATAAACTCAAACGATTAGGCACCAAATCATCACTAACTAATCGGCTTACTTCATATCTAAGTAACCGACTTTTGAAGTTCAACGTAAACTCCACTTTTTCTCGGGCCATGGATGGGATCCACCAAGGCTCAGTACTAGGACCTCTTATTTTCTTAATTTATATAAAGGTCTTTTACAGCAAGTATCGCCAGATTTATTACTTTTCGCTAATGATATGAAGCTTTGGAGAGGAATTTACGACCAAGAGGATAATATGGAATTTGAGGAGGATCTGATTCAGACTCGAAGCTTGGCAAACAACGACGGACTTACCTTCAACACTTCAAAGGGTGAAGTAGTCCGTCTGAGACATGTTGCATCCCAAGCTGAAAATGATCTGAGTTTTGATAACATATTGTCGCAAGTCTCGCACCAGCTGCGACATGAATGTCTACCGAGCAGGCCGTACACTGATAACGTTGAAGCGAATCTTTGGTCAGTTTGATGGAAGGATTTTCCACCTTATCCCCAACAGTTTTATTCGACCCCATTCAGAGTATGGAAACATAGTGTTTCCTCCCTCACTCCAAAAATTAGAGGACAAGCTGGAGTGTATCCAACGGCGAGCCAGGAAATCAGTTTGGGGACATAATAAGTGAGGAATTATAACCATATATCCTGATGACTGATTACTGAGAACGATTTTCACTTCATTATTCTTTGTTTTAGGACAAATTGGCTTGGGCTAATGCAGTTGAATATAAACAGTATTGAATAGAAAGCCACCCAAAAACCTAAACTGTCCAATAACACTAGGACGCGAATCCAAAGAAATCATTTAGTTTACACTGGCTTGTCATAAATATATTGACTATTGGAAGGTCACGAAGGTTTCGTCCTTTGTTACATATTCAAACCGCCGCTACCATTGCCGAATCTTAGTCTCGGGCCCGTTCTAGTTTTGACTGTTGTCGAATAATTTCATTATTATATGTAAGTGCATTATGTCTGCTTACTGTGTTGTTCGGTCACTTTCCCTCCAGATTCTGATGTAACGTACATCAGTTACCTGGACGCAAACCTCCAAAGATGTGTAAGTTACACCTTAGTAACGCATAGGAAGCCTTAGGTCTAGGCTTAACAGTGATGGTCAGCATTTTCGGAAGAAGTCAGTGCACTTTTCAGTAATTCTGCTCACTAAAAAGTAGCACTGAGATATAAATTCGTAATTTCAATCATATCAATTCACTGTTAGCTGTGCACAACAAAAGGAAAAACGAAAAGTATACGGCCGGCCGTGATCTGTACCTTAGTTAGTGGATGCTAGCTGAAGAGTCTTACCATCAGGAGCTTCACAAGAGACAACTTTAAGTCCACTCCTGTTCCTGATCTTTATTAATGACTTGTTGGATAAAATTAGCTCGTTGGCACTGATACAAACAAACGATGCAAAGATCTGGAGGTCCGTAGAAAGCGAAAAGGATTCACTATGGCTTCAAAAGGACCTTACAGCAATAGGGGAAAGGGTGTATACAGCAGGTTGATAGTTAACTTGTCGAAATGTCATGTCATAAACATCCTGCTTCACTCAACACAAAGCAATTACATCGTGCATGGGAATCCGCTCCCTGTTATCTCTTCAAAATGCGTCTTGGGGTTGAACTCACAGAGCAGATATCTCAATATACATATGGGACGCAGCTAAGGCAAACGCAACCCCCATAATTGTCCCTAACTCTCTTTAAAGCGTACCCACGGCGCCAGTCTAGGGTCCCCATTGTTGTTGCTCTCATTTTAAAAGAGACAAATCTCTTGGACCGAGTACAGAGACGCGCAATCAAGTGGGTGATAAGATTAAGATATAAATCTTACAAAGACAAAGTCTAATACTCAGAGTTGTTACCTCTAAGCTATAGGAAAATAAGAGGTGATCTGATGATACACAATATATTAAGTGCGCCAAATCTCTCCAACCCGAGCATACTACCAGAAGATCACACTCTTCGAGGCAACCTTTGGAAGATTGCACATCAGGTACGCTCCCACTTTTTTCGTTGACAGTTGCCCTCAGTTAGAATGCTCCCCTAGCCGAAGTGACCACAGCCACTTCAGTGGATAAATTTTAGAAGATACTTGACAAACACGTACCCACCCATGGGTTACCATCTCCCTCTTGGACCACGGTTATCACTACTGCATAATCAGTAAATACTTCTTATCTCTCTTGTCATCATCTCATAATTTGGATTCCATGTCCTTACACATTATCAATTCAGTGAATTATTATTTATTCACTTTTTTATTTTTCACATTGCAACTAACCAACCTCCTGCCTGTTAATGTGATAGTTACTGGTACCTAGACACCCTACTGCTCTAAGACAAACGCACTTACTCAAATAACCAAATATACAAGTCCATAAGTAACTACCAAACTGACTAGAATCATTGTGATCGACTGGCTAAACTACCACCCATTGGACATAACTAAACACTTTGAACCGTACCGAAATAACAAGAAGCGAGCGCAAAAAAATCGACTGGTTTATACAAGCTCCTTACAAAGACATTGGATTTTACTTACTAACACTTGAGTTATGAAAACATTTATGGGGAAAAATTTATACTTATAATTAATAAACAGTTCTAATACGAATAACAAACGTTTGTGCATAAATTATTAGGGTTTCCATCATGAAATGACGTCAACTCTAATGAAATAATGAACTTCACTCCGAAACCTAGTTGGTGTGTCCATATACTTCACTTCTTCCAACAGATGGTTTGTGGCGCATTCGTCGTCGATCACCACTTTTTTTGAGTAACACGACTTGGCTATCAGCATTTTATTTTTCATTCTTACATTTGGGTCATTTTCATCAATGAAAGGCTGTCGGAAAAGGCTTTGCAACGATTGACTTAGTACAGCTGATATTTACTTGAATCACTACCCTCTTACAGAGGTATCAGGAAGTAGTGGGAGTTTTAATATCTCGTAGTCTGTACATGTGTTATTCCTGACCAATTTATAAACACACGGACCAACATTCCGTTCTTTATGGCTGTAAATTATGATCTATGAAAGTAGAAGACACGATTCATCTGGTCTTTGACCATAGAAGTCTTCGAAGCAGTGCTTGCGTGCTGTGAAATGATCATATAGAGTTTAGGTACAGTGTAATAGGTAAAGGTGGCAAATCGGTTTGGGAGGTTATGAAGCCTTGTCGACTAAGGTGGTCGGTATACGTACATGTGCTTAACTATCGCCTACCTCGATGGGGAGTGTTAGGTTTTATAGTAGGCTGATAAAAATATAAAGGGGTCAACCCGAAACCTAGTGTCAGTCCATGAAGTCATTGACTCGTGATCTGAGCCATGGTGGTAGATGCAGACTACCTGATTGAGATCTGTGCTATTAAATGACATGGCTCAGAATCATTCACAATCGCGCATATGCATTTGTTTTACATTTCTCTAAACCTTTTTCATTCTCTCTTCTCGAACTCCATCCTCAGTACCTAGTCTTTCTGATTGCCATTTGTAGTAAATTATTTCGATCCATATCGCTATTCATCCTGTTATGTTAATGTGATATGGCAGCTTGAGCTGATATAGATTTGTGACAGACTACGTTGAATACAGATGATGGACTTTTCAGCAAAACAGTACCCTGATAAAAACTCAGATTCCCTTTACTTCCAACTAAACTCTTTCATGTATTTGAAACCCATTTTGGAATTACGAGTTTAAATATTACAGGCTGTAAGCAGCTGACGAGAGCCAAATTGAATAAGATGAATTCATGTTATCATGCTCAAATCTTCATTATCCTTTTATTCGTATAGTGCATCCTATTGATGCCCACTGCCCCGAAATTTGTTTACTGAATGGATTAAAACTATAATAAACTAAAATCAAAAAATAAACTTCTGGTCCAAAAGGATAAAAGAAAATATAGTGCACCCAACATGTAGACACTACTGTTACAAGTGCTTTGATGTTACACTTTATAAAGTTGGACAGGCATTCAGGCGAACATTCTTGACAATAAGTACGCTATTTGTTGATTTCTTTTTACTGGAATCAGTCAATATTTTTGTATCTTGTCTGTTAGACTGAGGATTTTTTCCATTTTGTTTCAGCAAGCCCCTCAGTCTGCCGGCAACTTGCTCGTGATAAAATCCTATGTTCGCCTCATCGAGTTCCAAAAAACCCACTGGTTTGTTTGCTGGAATATCCAACGATTCTTGTGTAAACTTGTTCCAAGTTCCACTTACTACAAACAGTAATATTCCAGCCCCAGGACTTTTCGGCAACTTAAAAACCACGGAATTCAGGGCCAACATTAAAGAATCAGGGCCTAGTTCCTCATCAGCCCACACAATAGGGAAAAATAGTAATGTCTCAAAAACAGTTTTCCATTCTCCTCGAAGTGGTGATGGTTTTGAAAAAGATCGAAATGATCGTTGTGTAACTGACACCAGTATCAATGGCAATGCGCACAATAGCTGTAAGTTCATCCTTGTTTTTCGTCATCTACCACACTTCTCTTGTTTAGTTTGTAGTTTCGATTGAGTAGTTTGTTGATACATATCCAGTGTGTTCGAATGTTTACTACTGCCACCGATACTACTCCAGTCTTTATTCTTATAATTTAATCTTATTGTACTAATGCGTTGTAGTAACTTCGAGCAATATGTATATTCATTCTGTTTGAAGATCAATTACTGCTAAAAGTTGAGGTAGGGATATCAAATGTGCTTAGTGGTTAACATACTCAACGGTCAGTCAGTAGGCTGCAAATTTGAACCCCGCTTCACCTACTTCTATCTAGTCACTCGGTTAGTACTACTACCCCTCACAAAATCCCAATGCATGTATCTTGGGTTTTACTTTGCTTTTGACTGACTGGTAAATAAATTACAGTACAGAAGTGTATAGGATTTATTGGGTCCTGGAGAAGGATTGCCTTTCAATATCTTTTTATGACCTAGGTCAGAAAACTTATGTCAGCAACTTGTACATGATTGCAGTTTGTCATGTAGCACTTGACTTTCGAAAGTAAATTCGTCTGTGTGAAATTACTTAAACTATTTAATCTGATGATAAAGTGGTTGATTGCTTAAATTATTTCAAGCACATCGATGGATGATCTTTTTCTGATGAACTCGTCACAAAATTTCAGCGTGAATATAAAATGGTGTCCATTCAAAAGGGCGAGTGGAAATGAATACACATTAATAAAGCCAACCATCAAAAGGCGAATATCAATAAAAGTGTGCATTGAAAGAGGGAATAACATTTTTAATAGTGTGAAATCTGTTCAATTTTCCCTTTGCTCCTCAGGCCTACGACCAATCAAAAAAGTGGTCTCTTAAGCGTCTAATAAAGAGTCTACTTTCAACAAACTATATAACTCGTCGAATTTGGCAACAAATCGTTATTCTAATTACTCTGGTCACGTTATCTCGTAAGTCTATTTCAAACAGCTAGGGGGGTAGTCTATTTAGAAGGATGCCTCGAAAACGCTTAAAAAATGTTTCATAAATTTTATTTTGAGCAAGTTTTAAGTTCTAAAAAAACATATCTTTCTTTTAAAACTAAAAAGTCATATGCTATTCCACGTAGATAGTCTAGTGTCGACCTGTTTTCGTAATCTACAATCAATTCGATATGTACTGCTACTTCCTTATATTTTGTTTTCAAGTGTTGTTGATGGGCTCCTGAGACAGACTGTTCTATTTTTATTCTATTTAGTCTCTTCTCTTCTTTCAAAAAATCAATAAATTTCCATATATCACAAGTTGAAATCACGAGTCAATTGAAGCTAGACCACCATGGAAAACCTGGAAGCACTGGACCGCCGTTTCGTCCCGGTATGGGACTCCTCAGCAGTGCGCATCCACGACCCCGCACCCCGCGGAATTCGAACCCAGGACCTGGGTTCGCGCGCGAGGTGCGGGGTCGTGGATGCGCACTGCTGAGGAGTCCCATACCGGGACGAAACGGCGGTCCAGTGCTTCCAGGTTTTCCATGGTGGTCTAGCTTCAATTGACTCATGATTTCAACTTGTGAAATTTCTAAAAATCTCCACAAAACCCATCCTGATAATAAAATTTCCATATACTTGAATGAGCGGCGTCAATAAGTTGACTAAAACCTTTATGCCATTCCTCCACTACATTGTTCATTTTAGGAATGTCTTCTACAAAAGGGGGTTAGCAGAATATACTTCAAATCACTAAACGACAAGCGTTTCGCTTTAATTTTGATCAGGGCTTTCGTATGTTGGTACTACCATGTTTATGATTTCATTAAACTTCTTGGGTACAGTAGGAGTTTCCTATTGTTAGCGGGACATAGACTAGACTAAAGCATGCTCAATGCATGATTGCTTTGGTGCACGCTGATTGGCTAATTCTTATCCAATCAGCGCTAGTCGATAGTTGGAGAATATTCTGGATTCTTCTTATGTAAAAACTATAAATATACCGACGTTTTCCCCTATTGTGCTTCCTACTGGCTTCTGACTTGCTATTTGGAATATAATCTTTTCCCTGTTCAACCGTGTTCTGATTTGGGGACTTGTCGAGTGAATCGGTGTCCGAGAATACTAAGCAATAGGAATAGCTGGGTCATTAACCGTAAGAAAACAGAGTTATAACAGTGGCGACGGGGAAAAACTAAAGAAAAATGGCGATTTCTTTAGAACAGTTGCGGTTAATATTACAGCACCAGCAGAAGTTGTTAGCCTTGCAACAACAACTATTGAACACACTTTTCACTCGACCAGAAAATAAGAAATCTGTTTATGATGCAGTAACAGACATTTCAGAAGCATATCTAGTGGAGGGTTCAAATCCCTTTATACCTGAATCAGAACGTAATATTTGTAACGTGTCCGGGTCACAGCAAGAAAATACTGTGCTGAATGCACATGAAGTTGTGACAATACCAGATGATCAGGAGCCAGGTCCTGTAGATGAAGCCCGGAGTCCAGAATCAAATGAAACACTACTGGTACTGTCTAGCTGCGAAAATAAACGTCAGCTCGAACAAAATTGTGGTCCACGTGCTATTAGTCGAGAAAGCTATGGTGACTCGTATTCAGAAAATAACTGGAGCAACACGATGAACCAAATTGTACCAGATGTTACTCAAAATCACCGGAAGACAGAATTTTATATTGAGTCAACTTATCCCATTTCTAATGACAGTGTACCAGATATTGATTCTCAGAATAATGCATATGATTTTGATGAACCGTCTTATAACAATGAGGGAAATATGTCAGCTGAGTCGAATGATGGCCAAAAATCTAATCTAATTCTGTTAGACGTTGACTTTCTTAATGACTCGTTATCAGCTAACGAGATTCATAATGAATTTGAAAATAATGAACTCAGATCAAAGGTTGTTCATCATCATCTAGTCATTTTTAGTGGATTCTCCAGTCAATACGAGAAACATGGTTTAAATAAAGTCCTACTAGTTATAATTTGGAGCCATAAGGACCCAACATTATTTCGAGGAGGAGGAGAATGTTGGAGAATTAAAAGTTATGCATACTTTTTTTAAGAAAAATCAAAACGCCGGGAACAGACATGTCAGTCTCTGTGCAAGGAAAAAGTGATAATTCTTCATTGCCTAGACGATGGACTAATCGAAAGCACAAGCCAGTCACTCAGTTGCAGTTGGACCCTAGCACCAGATCCTACGAATCTGCTCAGAGGGGAGGTGTTAGCGGGACATAGACTAGACTAAAGCATGCTCAATGCATGATTGCTTTGGTGCACGCTGATTGGCTAATTCTTATCCAATCAGCGCTAGTCGATAGTTGGAGAATATTCTGGATTCTTCTTATGTAAAAACTATAAATATACCGACGTTTTCCCCTATTGTGCTTCCTACTGGCTTCTGACTTGCTATTTGGAATATAATCTTTTTCCTGTTCAACCGTGTTCTGATTTGGGGACTTGTCGAGTGAATCGGTGTCCGAGAATACTAAGCAATAGGAATAGCCGGGTCATTAACCGTAAGAAACCAGAGATTATAACACCTATGTTTTAGGTGTAGTTTGGTTCTGCACTTGGCAAAATCTGTTTCGTCTGTTGGGTTTGGTGTGTTTTATATTAATTAATTAATAGTGGGAGTAAGATCGCTCTTCGTCTTTCTGAACTTAGATCACATGTAGTATCTGTTCTTTGCAGTGTAATTTTTGCAACGGTCTCTAAACTGAGATCAATGAAGTTACCCGTATTTTTCACCTCCGGACGGGTGCCTTGAGCTTGCTCAACCCCGTCCACGGGTCGGTTTCGTATATCATCGCACTAACTAATAGACTCTGAACTATCAGCTTACTTTTTAAAGCTTGGTGCGGATGGTTAATTATCTTCAGTCTTTGTAAAAGAGATCCTCAAACTTTTGGATAAGAACCTGTATTTAGTTTCTGAATTATTCATGTACAAATAATTAAATTCTTGTTCACTATATTGCGGTTTAAATTCGACTAGATGGTACGTTTCACTTAACATTACTATGTTAGGTCCATCGTTATACTGTGCCGTTGATTAATTGATATTGTTTGTTAACCTTTTTCCTATTGCAATCGAGTTTCTTATTTTTTATGTATTCTTCATTACAATCCTTCCATTTGTCAGACTTCGACCTTCCTGGATCTTCTAACAATGAAAAAAGGTGCTTAGATTCAAATAATATCCAGAATGCCTCTAACTTGTATTGGCCTGCAGTTAAATTATCCCGTTTGCCGATCGAATACAACACAAAGAGTTTTCTACTGAAGCACTTCCAAAGTTTTGGTCCTGTTGAACGCATTATATGTCAACCTTCTGTGGATGCTGCTTATATAGCTTTTAACTCTTTGGTTAGTACTTATTCGGTTGGCAGCTACGTGTTTGCTTCATCTATTGAGTTACCTACATTAAGTTATCAGCGTAAAACAAAAGGAGCGTTATGGTTAACTAGCCTACTAGAATGCATTATTGGTTGCTTGGATGGGGAGGATACCTAACTACAGTTCTAAACACAGCATACACACGTTCCAAATAATTCTAAGATTTTGGATCACCTTGAATACCCGCACTGATATAATTAACCAAACGTCTGATTCATACAATCACTGTTCAGACTCTGATCCACCGGTTTGGCCGTCAAAATGTTGCGATTGTGTGTTGTGTGAATCTGTTCATTAAATTCGATAGCATATGACTCGCAGAAGAATGTATTTCGTTGTTACTGGTTGCGGTTAATGTCATCCGGCTACTAGTTACATTTCCGATCCAAAAATATAGTAATGTCTACACAATTGTATCTTAGTTGTTGATAAATGCTTGTTACTGCCTGTCAATAACAAAGTGTGTTGTAGACAAGTAAATCAACAAACACTAATACATAGTAATACTGGCAAATGGAAGTAAAATGTTAGTTATTCCGTTTTGGTTATGTAGTTTCTTTCTTTCCTCTACATTGTCAGCATATTTTTTAACCAAATTTTTATTCGTTCTCAATGTTTAAGTCTTCTGCAAATCAAGCTAAACGATCAGGACGTGCATGTATTGCATCTGCTAACATTGATTTGCCTAGCTCAGTCCTTTTTACCATGGCACGATGTCGTCGTCAAACTAATTCTGGATCAAAATCAATATCACCTAAATTAGGTCCTATCAGGGGTAGAAACACTGTGTCCTCCATATCCCCATCACGTACATCTCTGAAAAGAATGATTACATCACACTCTGTAAGCTTACTTTCAAATATATTTGCTTTCATTTTCTGTGATATCATTTTTCAATAACATGTAACAGCCAGCTAATTCATATTTTTCATATATTAAATGACAGCCCATATTGGCAACAGTAGCCACACTGTTTTTTATGATCACTTAAGCTGTGAAGAATAATTCCTGACGTTTTTATTCCACCAACTGATTCATTTAGGTTTCGTTATAAAGAGAGGTGTAGCAATCGATTCTTTTATCCATAGACTTAATACTTACAAAAGACGAATTTGAGCACATAATATTTTTAGTAAGTCCACTTTTAATTTGTACAGTCTTGAACCTCCCTCTGTTTCATCTGTTTCGATTTATTCACCCGAGTAGTATTTCCCAACCCTAAGACGAAAATGCTAGAAATTGAAGCTTGATATATGATTCTGTCAACTGTTAATTATTTTAATTCCTGTTCAGAGTTATCAATAGTTGTATGATAACCCAATAATTGATTGGAAGAACAACAATGCCTTCAACGCATATAGTACAATATTTGGCCATCGGTATTGACTACCTACTTATTAACTTGAAAGTGTTAGTCTTTAACATGCCTGTCTTTTTCAGTATATTTCCGATATGATGAGAAAACATTAAGGTTATTAATCAAGTTATTAGATAAAATCCTCTTTAAAAGTTCCGAATGTTGATTCATTTTAACGTTTTATAATTCGGTTTAGTGATACATTAGTCTTATTATTTATTTATTTATTTTAACACATAGATATTGGTACAAGGAGGCACCAAATACATATGCGCCACACAAATCTCATTCGATATGTGTGAGGGCTGTGATACTGCCCGGGTGCCCAAACCGAAGCAGGTGGTTTTCTTAGGGGGCCACCCCCCGAGCCTTCGACCTGAAGATCTGACCCACAAGGCAGTGGAGCATCGTGAGGAGATGTAGTCCCATGGTAGCCGGTGACCAACGATTGGTTCATACGCCATTTGTTCCCGCACGATACTGGAGCCCATGTGTACCATTGGTTTGGGATCCGGTTAAAGCGCCAGACATTCGCTTTTCGTCCTCTCATTTTCGTAAACAACACCCCCGCCACGAGAAGGCAGTGAGTAGGACTTCCCTGGCAGAGGCTGTATACGCGTGGCCGTGTGAGAACATTTCAAGAGGGAGAGCGGACTCTCACCACTCTCGGCCATACCAGGGCATTTGGGGGCTAAATTAACATAATTTAAAACGACACAGTAAGGAAAAGGCAGTTAAAGGAATAATATTTCACAAGTGATTACGTAAAGATGATACACACAAAACGATGAAATTTAGGATAAATACTAAATACTGAATTGTACCAAATTAAATACAAATCAAAGCACTTATAGGATCGATTCAGAATAAGGAATTAAAGTTATTTTCTACGTAAAATGATAGTTAATCATCAAATTTATGATTATTTTAATCAGAGAGAGGTTTTGTGGATATTATAGTAATTTGATTGTTGAATTCATGAGTCAATTGAAGCTAGAATACCATAGAAAACCTGGAAGCACTGGACGGCCATTTCGTCGTGTTGTGGGATTCCTCAGCAGTGCGCATTTACGAAACGGCCGTCCAGTGCTTCCAGGTTTTCCATGGTGGTCTAGCTTCAATTGACTCATGAATTCAACAATTAAATTATGATTATTTATCATTTTTCTTCGGACTGATCGCGTAAAGGTGTTTATATGGTTGGTCAACATCATAAGTGACTACAGAACATATGATGTAGGTAGTAGGATTGAGCTAAAAATGTCAAATGTTACTTTGTATTTCTTTTTAAAATATTTTTTTGGTAGAATACAAAGCAGGTCATGAATAAAAAGCAATTTTCCAGAGTATCTGTTTCAAGTGATAATCAGTCATCTCGTACATCAGTTATTGTTGATAATCAATTATCATTTACGTCGTCCCAGATAGTATGCAATACACAACCAACAATATCCTCTATTACACGGCCAAATGCATTCGCCTATAATAATAATAGTCTATTCAATCAGAAATCTCCAAGTGCTACTACACTAGATGAACGACTGTCTGTATTACAAGAATATTATAAACGTGATTGTGAACTGAGGTCTATATCCAAATCTGCTGATCCAAAAATTCAATGTTCGGATATATGCAACAGCAACACTGGTGAACCGATTCGTCATGCACCCATTAAAGGCACATGTGAAGATATGTGTCCTGAATTGGAACGTTATTGTCGAGCAGCTCATCAACGTGTATCTGTATGTTTTTTTAATACTTTCGTAGTATGAACTTTATCTAAAGTGTATTTATCATTAGTTTGGGCACAACTTTCATATGAAACCTTGCTTCATATTTAATCTGTACAATTAGTTTCTGTAATCACCGTACTATAAATCTAGCTCAGGACGTAGTACATGATTCTGTATGCAGTTAATTAGCTGTACTTCAGTATTGAAATGGGGCTACCAGTGCCTTCTACTTTCTTTTCAATTTAAACCAGATCATAGCTGCTACCTTAACATGGTGGTCAAGCTTGCCTATCGTGATGAGTTATATTGGCTAGAACACTTGTTTTCTTAGGTTCATATGACCACTACTGATCCCTTAAGAAGGATCATACTTCCACAGTATGGGCAACTGAGTGGTAAGTGATAACTATCCTGATATCCCTAACAGCACTGGAGATCCTCCTGTGTATGATCAAATCACTTCTTGATGTTTCTTTCATCTTCACCATCAACCTTTCTCCTATGACTTTATCCCCGTGTATCACTAATGCTGACTATTCGAGTCTCTTGAAACCTCACTTAAACTACATCTTGGGAATTCCAGTCCTCAGACGTTATATCCAGTAGGCCAAGAGGCTTCCTTAGCTAGGACTTAGAATCGCGTGCCATCGATTTATTCTGTCTCGGAAACACATATACAGGATCCAAGTATGGTCATCTATCGGGCCTCAGCTAGTCAATATGGAGGGGCATTATGGTTTACCCTTCATGTACCTGGAGACGACTCCCATTTTCTCGTGGCCTCTTTGGAATAGGTGTAGTCAGTTAGTCAGTCAGCTAAAACGTAGGACCAGGCACATATATGCATCGGCCCAAGTTGCCATACCGCATTAGCACGACAAAGTGAAAACCGGATTCATCGGAGTAGTTAAGTCAGTGGTGGTAATATGTAAAAGAAAGATTACATACAATGATATAGTACAGGAAGAAAGAATTAGTTCGTAGAAAGAAAGGTATAAATTCATTTCAGTCTCACGGTCTAAGGGAATACATAGAGTTTATACACCTACGCCATTGTGATCGATTCTGAGCCATGTCATTCACAGTCTACAACCATTGGTTATGATAGTCACACGTACTACAAGCAAGTAGTCTGCATCTACCAACATGACTGGTCGCCACTAACTTCCTTCCAACCATCCCCGACACTATTCAGCATTGCGTGTCGTGGTAATCAGTGTTCAGGCATATACAACATGTAGCCCATCCATTTCAGTTGATGAAGATTCACAGCCTCAGCGACTGATTTACCATCATTCCCTAATACCCTACGCCTCACCACACCATTACTTACCCGGTGGTCCCAGCAGATGCGAGCAATATTTCTAGGGCATCTGTAATCAAATACTAGTAAATTACGAGTATCTTCTACTCTTAATGACCACGTTTCGCAGCCGTAAAGTAGAACAGAACGAACTGGCGCGCAGTATACTCGTCCCTTAATTGATAGACGGATATCTCGCCTTCGCCATAGGTGACGTAAGTTGACAAAAGCCAAATGCGCTTTCTGAATCCGTGCTGATATTTCGTCAGACAATAACCCATTAGGGCTGATCATAATTCCAAGATAAGTGAAGTTGTCGACGTGTTTGACTACTTCACTCCCTATCCTTAGTTCAGGTGTTGACACAAACCAGTCCTGAAGCAACAACTTGCATTTAGAGGGAGAGAAGCGCATTTCAAACATTCTAGCATTGTTGCTTAATGCTACCAAAATACTCTGCATTTTATCAGCGTCTTGACCAAATAGGACTGTCATCTGCGTATTGTAAGTCGATAAGTGGACCTCCTGGAAGGAGATCAATGCCCGAGAATTCAGTCGACGAGAATGTTATTTCCTGTAGTAGGTCTATGATGAAGTTAAACAAAAATGGAGAAAGTGGACATCCTTGACGGACACCACTTGAGGTTGCAAAAGCAGATGGAAGTCCGCCATAAGCTCTGACTCGACTAGTAGTGTTCGAGTAAAGAGCCTTCACAAGGTTTATGTACTTCTGAGGTACGCCTTTCAATGACAGACTGTCACAGAATGTCGCGGTCTACGGAGTCAAATGCTGCTTTTAAGTCAAGAAAGACCACCATTGCCGGACGCCGATAAGTATGCCTGTGTTCTAGAACCTGACGAATGGTGAATATGTGGTCGATGCATCCACGACTAGGTCTGAAGCCAGCCTGATTCGCTCGTGTTGGCAGTTCACGAGTCTTAGGCGACCGATAATTATTGAGGCTAGTATTTTAGATTCTATATTAGTCAAACTAATCCTTCTATGGTTGTCACAGGATGATTTTGACCCTCTCTTATATATTGGGACGATAAGTGATTGTGACCAGTCAGATGGAATAACGTCTAACTCACAGATTTTAGCTAAAATATTAGTCAACCTAATCGCTAAAATCGGACCACCATCCTTAAAGACCTCTGGAGCCAATCCATCTGGACCAGCTGCGCTTCCTCGTTTCAGATTAACTATAGCCTTTTTAACTTCAGCAAGGGTTGGGGGACCTACTTCAATGTTCCATTCACACTGTCTGGGAATGGAGGGTAGTTGTAGAGTAGCTGAAGGCCAGCTGAACTGTTCTCTGAAATGTTCCGCCCATCGTTCTAAACGTCTGGACTGGGAGCAGATGAGAGTGTCGTCTTTTTCCGAGATAGTCTCACTTAGTGCGTAGGTGTAGCACTAAGTTCAAAGGAAGTACAAGCTGTCGCAGACTGGATTCCAATAGGTTTTCACTTATGCGCTGTTTCATTAAATGGGGATGTAAGAACACGGAAAGAAATAGACATACAACGTTACCTCTTGGTTGTCTCTGCCCACGTTCGCACTGATATGAGTTCGGATAAAGTTTTAGAAAAGACTCTCTTCTACAAGAAGTCAAACACTTAGACGTAATTGTAGCAGTGATTTTATCACCCAAGTAGGTAGTTTGAAGTGAAATAAAAGACATTTAGATGGACCTTACTGTGTCCCAGCTCAACGGACAGATGACGACGAGCATCTGTCCAGACAACCGTTTATTCCTAAAAAGTATCAATTTTAAGCATAAGGAGAGACATCGTCCGACATGGCGACCAGTAGAATTAACTCAACGATAGCCTCAATCAGGACCATACTGTGATTAGTGATCGTTGGAGAGGCTCAATAGGAGACTGCTGCTCATTCTGTGGCACATGTCTAGACTCTGATCCTGCTCCAGTAAGAGAACGTGTTTGTTTGCGTCATACTAGACCCAGAAAATCTAGATCAAGAAGACCCCGATTAGTTCAGCTTTACTATGAAGTACAGAGGAAAGCAGTTAGTCAACCTCTAATGTGACACTTATCTCAATATGGATTAGCATAATATCCAGGCAGCTGGAGAAACATCAATAGATTTCAGTAGTGTTGTCATGACCTTGAATCCCTTTTACCCCGTCGATACTTTGTTATGACTTGACCTTGGTCTGTCTAGTCTAGATTATGACCTTGGCGCGATATGCTGAGCGGCTTAACCTTGAGTCTAGTACGCGTGAGAGAGAGAACTATTCTAGAACCTGACTGGTTGGCAAGCACGCAAGTGAGAGAAGACAAGACAGTTGGAACACTCTGAATTCTCTAAATTCGGATTAGTGCAAAAATGTACATGAATAAATAAGTGAATATACTGACCACAACGTACGATAATTCGGAAAAATACAATTATGCCCGAAACTGGGAATTAGGGTAGAAAATAAGATGCAAAATATTATGTTTAAATTACAATATTTTCGGAACAAAAAAGGTATGGCAGTGAATGTTACATAGAACGAAGGCTCATGTTATGTAGAATAAAATAGGGACAAAAATAAATATGTGTTTTACAAGGTTTGAATGAAATGAAATAACGTCCCAAGAAAAAAGCTTTCGTAGTTGTCTGGGCTTCTTATTTCCCCGTTCACAACAAGTGTTTATTCAGTTGATAGATGCTTGAAGTCTCATCCCCTGTGGCTCCGAACATGACTAGGGCCAAAAGCAGTCTAAACGTAGACTAGTAAAAAGCTTACGCAATGATTGTGAGTAGTGATGGGCAGTGAAAGCATCAGAGACGCAAAGGTAGCGGGAATAGGTAACAGTAAGTAACTGTTCAGATTTACCTAGAAAACAGATATTAAAAATCTGGCTCTTAGTGAGACTATTTCTGAAAAAGACGGGACTGTTATTTATTCTCAATCCAGAAGATTCAACAGATGAGCAAAACATTTTACAGAACAGTTCAACTGAACTTCAGACACACCTAATTTATCCACCATCTCCAACCAACCTGAATGGCGAACTGATGTAAGTCCTCCAACTCCTAGTGAGGTTGAAAAAGGCTTCAAACAATCTAAAACGGGGGGCAACGGGGCTTGATGGACTAACTCCTCGCACATCACTTCTCCGAGTGAGGTTCTTATGATTGTGTCATTCGGTAGCTCAAGATATCAGATATAGTCCAAGATAGGAGCCACTGACGATCCTTTCATAGTTTTCTTACATTCCTCACAAATCGTATAGAGTACTTTTGAAGTGAATGAAATCTATACTAATTACACCTTTTATTGTTTGTTTGCGTGTTTCTTTTTAACAGTTTTTTTCTATCTAATAACTTCATTTCGTTTGCGTGATGCATTCTCGGTACCCTGTAGTATCAGGCAACATTTTGTGTTATAAATGGGAAATACACTAAAATTACTTATATAATTTGATCAACAATAGTTTTCTGTGCATGTTATCTAAACGAAATAATATTATTAGATGTATTTATAGTAAATATAATTATTAATGACTTCGTTCAATTTTGTCTCCAAATGCTCTGGTACGGCTGAGGGTGGGGAAAGTTAGCTACCTCTCGAAGTGCTCTCACATGGTCATGCATACACAACCACTGCCAGAAAAGTCCTACTCACTGCCTTCTCGCGGCATTACTGTTGCTTAAGAAATTCAGAGGACAGAAAGCGAATGTCCGGCTAATTAACCGAGTTGGTGGATATGGAGGATCCATCTAGTGGAGTTGGAAAACCTTGATTGCAAACCAATGGTGCACATGGACTGGCTCCAGTATCTGGAAGGAACAAATGGCGTGTGAACCAACTATTGGTGACCGACTACCATGGGACTGCATCTCCTAACCTGCCTTGTGGATTAGACCTTTAGGTCAAAGGCTTCGGGTGCGGTCCCATAAGAAAATCACCTGCTTTGGTTTGGGCACCCGGGCAGTATCATAGCCCACACAAATCAAGTGACTCGTATGGCGCATATGTATTCGGTGCCCCTTTATACCAATATTTATGTGTTCAAATAAATAAATGAATAAATAAATTCAATTTTATATGTTTAGTACAATATAGAATTCTCATTACATTTTTTGTACTACTGTTAACATTTTTTCGTCAAGTGTTTCATAAATTTTCATAATTTTTTCACTTAAAGATATTTGAGTGTTTACCTACTACAATGAGTGTTAATTCATCTTCTTGGGAGATGGATCATACTCGGGCCGTGAAAGATTATCAACGTTCTTCAGCCGATCAACCTGTACCATTACCCCGAGAACTACGACCGACATGTGTTTTGCAACGTACAATGGCTTATTTACTAGCTAGCATAGCTGATCGCCCAGAAATTGATACCAGTCGTAGCCTATGGAAACCTTGGTATGAATTTATGTGGACACGTACACGAGCTATTCGCAAAGATATACGGCAGCAAAACTTATGTTGTCCCATTGTTATTGGTGTTATTGAACGGATAGCAAGATTTCATATTTTCTGTGCTGCACGATTAGTTGATCAACCAGTGGATACTTTTGATCCTCGCATTAATTCAGAAAATTTAACTCAGTGTCTGCAAACATTAAAGGAGATGTACAGTGATTTAGATTCACCAATTACTTCTGAAAATATGTGTCCTAATGAAGCAGAATTCCGAGGTTATATGCTGTTAATGAAACTGAACGACCAAAACGAGATCAAGTGAGTACAGTTTCTGTATTTAAGAGGTTTTGAAAGTCGTGAAAAGAATAGGGGATTTGTTAGTCAATGAGCATGCGTCTATAATACAATCTACATATGTTGTTTGGCGGTGAGTTATACCCCCCTTTGTTTTTTTCTTACTACTTCACTTAAATGTTGGTGTATCTAACTGGGAAATACTAAGAATAACGAAACTCCAATCTTTAATTCCACTAATAATCATCACTATCAGACTGAATTGATAGCCATTTTCAGCATTACCACGCTAGTATCTCATACGAAAACAGAAGTTGATCTCTTCATTTCAACCGTATCTATCGTCAAAGATTTAGCCCTAAAATTTCCTTTCAGTAATATCATTTATTAAAGCTGATGAAACATGTTCTTTAATCTCGCTGGTATTTACTTCATGGATATGTTCGGGACAACTTGTCACTTTGAAAAACCTCCGTATGTGTGTCTGTTTATCAGTATAATTGATTCTATGGAGCAAGTCGGTTATATATCAGTCTCACACAACCTACTTTTCTTAATGGCGATTTTAATGCGTTTTCCAAGAAAAGTTAGTAAAACAATAATCATCTAGATCGCTGAATATCTCGTCGATGGATTAAAATAAAAGATTTATCTATCTATGTATGCCTTTAGATAAAATGGATTATAGTGGATGTGAATTCGTAACTTGCTCACAACAGAGACATAAGCTATTTACCAATTTAAATCGGAAATTTGTTTTAAAGTAATATATTGAATTTCTCTTTTCTTCATCATAGTTTCTAAATTGCTTTATTGAACTATAGACGTTATCATTTTGTTAATTTCTTCCCTTTTCTTTAATTTTTTCTAAGATGAATGACTAACTCTCATCCATTTTATTTAGTCATTAATTTTCATATTATCGTCATCATCATTGAGTGCCCGAAATGCCCTGGTACGGCTGAGGGTGGGGAGGGTTAGCTACCTCTCGAAGTGCTCTCACATGGTCATGCATACACAACCACTGCCAGAAAAGTCCTACCCACTGCTTAAGAAATTCAGAGGATAGAAAGCGAATCTCCGGCTAATTAACCGAGTTGGTGGATATGGAGGATCCATCTAGTGGAGTTGGAAAACCTTGATTGCAAACCAATGGTGCACATGGACTGGCTCCAGTATCTGGAAGGAACAAATGGCGTGTGAACCAACTATTGGTGACCGACTACCATGGGACTGCATCTCCTGACGTTGCTCCATCGCCCTGTGGATCAGACCTTTAAGTCGAAGGCTCAGGTTGTGGCCCCCTAAGAAGACCACCTGCTTCGGTTTCGGCATCCGAGTAGTATCACAGCTCATACACAAGTCACTTGACTTGTATAGTGCATATGTGTTCGGTGCCCTTTTTTATCAATATTTATTTCTTCAAATAAATAAAACTTCATCTTTGAGTAGGTTAGTGGATAATCTTGAAGAAACTGTACGTTCGATTTTCTAATGCATTTGTGACGATACTTGATCAATCTGCCTTTTATTAGTCTGCAGAAATCAGGTAATACTTATAGATGGGATTGTATGTTATATATGGCTTTATCTAAAGACATTTTTCTTCGTTGAGATGCTAATTTTTCTTGGTTAAAGGTTGCCTTGTTTCATAATTGTTTCAATCACCTTGATTCAGTGATTTTTTAATGGGCTCTTTAAAAATACCGGATAGTGACTTGTTTCTTTCACTTAGTTAATTCTTCCTGTATGACTTTGGTTTATTAAGCACATTTTTACCTTTGGTGTTTTTTTATTATTTTATTTTAGTGAAGCTCAACGTTTACCTGAACGACTACGTCAATCTAAACCTGTACGATTTGCATTTGCTACACATGAAGCTCTCATAACAAACAATTATATCAGATTTTTCCGTTTAGCTCGTCAAGCTACATGTTTAGTTGCTTGTCTTATGCATAGATATTTTGTACAAATACGTAGTCAAGCTTTAACGAAACTGTCTTGTGCATTTGCTGGACATCCAAAACGAGAAGTACATGTGAGTATTGTTTCTTCGGTTATTCTGTTGATTTTCTAATCTTATTGAAATCAAACTCTTAAATTACATTGTCTTCCTATTCGTGTACTACAATCATTCTTCAAAGTGTTAGTTACAGTTAATGGAATTCTTTACGATGAACTTGTGGGAATTAGATCAAATTATTAATTCACTTACTTCTGAAGTTGTTTTCCAGTCAGTCACATAAGTATTCCCTGCTTCAGTTTGGGCACCCGCGTAGTATCCCAACCCTCACACAAATCGAATGATTTATGTGGCCCATATATATATGGTGCTTCCTTGTATCAATATCTATGTGTTTAAATAAATAAATACATAAGTATTCAGTTCATGGTCACCGTGTTGCAGTTTCAAATCTCAGTCTGATACATATATATTATAGTTTAAAACAAGGGAGTTTTGACCTGTGCATTCAGTGACTCAACCTCCAACTAGTAGATTATAATGCCTAATCCTATTCAACCTTCTGAAGCCCAGTCTTGCCTACTGTATAAGTAGCTTCCATGTAGTGTGATTTATAGACGAGAATATGGATCTGATCGTAGTTGTTTATTTTCTACTTCTTTAGGTTTGAACAACTGTTTTGTTTGGTTAATAGTCCTTTATTTAACATGACCGAAGACGCAGTGCACAAAATTGATATGACTTAATATGTAATCTATGCAGAAATTGTTTCTTTTTATTTAAAAATGTATTACATTGTCGTATTCTTCGTACTTGTCTATGGATAACATTTTCATGAGAATTTTGTTGAGAATATCCACTCCCTCACATCTATGTTAATTTGGTCTCGAACTCGTGATCTTGCGTTTAAAGGACTACTGATATTTATATCAGAAGGAGTTTCGTGGATATTACAGTAATTTTAATAGTTGGGATCATGAGTCAATTGAAACTAAACCACCATGGAAAACCTGGAAGCATTGGATGGTCGCTTCGTCCTAGTATGGAACTCAACAGTGAGCACCCACCATCCCGTCTCGTGGGATTCGAAGCCAGGACCTATCAGTTTCGCGCGCGATCGTCTTGCTCCTAAACCAAAGAGATGGCATTCAACGGTGGTAATGTCTAACTTCAACTAATCCACGAAATTGAGTGACACATCCACCATTGTCTTCAGTGAGTTACTCTCTCACAACTGACCCAGTTGAACTCCACTGGTCACTGTTTCTCACTAGAACTCCAGGATATCCCTCTTGAAGCCAGTCACTAGTGAGCATATGTTGATTAATATCAGAAGGGGTTTTGTGGATATTATAGTAATTTTAATAGTTAAGATCAGGAGTCATTTGAAGCTAGACCACCATGGATTCAGATTTAACCTTAATTATTTCTTATATAGTAAACCACAAATGGTATACAAACCTTGTTTGTTGTCGCATAATTAGCATCAAGTTAGCTTGTTTAACATTTTTTTCGCTACAATCATCACTTTTTCCCCACTGTTTATCTTAAATTTTCTTAAACAGTATCCTATTTCTACTCTGACACAACAACTCGGTTTTGAAAATGAAACAGAATCTAAACATTTCTGTGAAACATGGGGTTTATCAGTGTTTGGTTCAAATGTGATATTTGAAAAACAAATTCAACCTCAACCACCTACGTTACCATGGAGAGAACAGAGATCATTTCACGTACGCGCTATTTCTAATTAATTTTATCGTATATTTCTTTTTCTATTTGTTGTGCACTATATATTGATTTTTCTTGATATTCGTTTTCCCGTATTGCGTTTAGTAGTTAGATTTTATTTTTAGCCAACATAATTACAAGTAATCATTGATCTAACCACATTCAACTCCGTGGTATAATATTTTTAAATTGTTTTAGGATTGAATTTATTATTTGTGAGACAGCTCCTACCTTAATGTAGTTGTCAAGGTATCATAACTGTTGTGTTGAGCAATATTGACTGAAATATTTACTTCTTGAGGTCCAATCATTCTAGGTAGTTTAGTTTGAAAGCTGGTAAGATGAAGAACAGTGAGTGTAAGATCTAAGGGTGAAGGCGTATCGTTGACTGTTCTGCTTTGTGGAGGCATTTTCTCACCAATAACCACCATTGTTTCTAGTGATACTGATCTTCCACAACGAAAAGTAGGGTTAAAAAAGGTCAACCTAAAAAATAACATGTGTCCTCCACAGAAGCATCAATGTAACTTATTCCCTGTTTAATACACTAGTTTTAACAATAGTTACACTACCTGTTTTGATTTTATGTCATTATGGATGACATCTTACAGTAGCTGGTCACGTATTCGGATATTCACTCATTCAATTGTTATGCTCAAATTATATGATTATGTTTGGTGCAGGACATTAAAAAGCAGTCATCTAAACTCCTTGATTAGTGATCCGTTGATGTTCGGGACATGTTTCTCTTCCCCCGAACACAAAACGTTACATCAGAACTGCTTTCGATAACGCCTTAGTTTCACCGTACATAAGGAAGTAGTTAAGGTAGGTGTTGGAATTCCTTGCGGAATTCCGCCTCGTTATGTGGACCAGTCGTTGCACAACTGACAGCCTGTTCTATCAGCCCTGATCTTGATCGGTCGTTGTTGACCGTTGTCCTGTCCTAAGTTCGACCTTCGACCACTAAGTCCCAAGTTCAGACCCTGGTCTGCTTTGGTTTGGGCAGCCGCGTAATGTCATTAGCTCGCACAATTAGAGTCTGGCTTTTACCTGAGAACCTAGTGAATAAGTTAGTTTTATAATAATTAATTAAAACTTATTTAAATTATGGATTTTGTGTCATCAAGGACGCTTTTAATCCCAACAACTCCTAAAATTACTCGCGTTCAAATCTCATTCAGAAGAATGAAGACTTACTGTGGCACACCTAAAACACGAAAAACTGAAAATATTTAATGTTCTTCAAAAGAATGTCAATGTCATTAAGAAAAGTGTTTACCAAACTTGTCAACAAGATCTAAAGCAAATTCGGAAACGAACAAATGGAGCCGTTTGAAAATAGCCTTAGCCCGTAAACCACCAAAATCACTTCAATCAAACTTATGCAAACCAAATGATTAAATTACAAAAGAAAGTCCAAAAATTATCTACAAAATCAATCCCTCCATCTACGCGTAACACTACATTGAACAAAGTATCCACAGTTTTCATTTCCAAATTCATAGATATTAACTAACTATCAAAGACCACGATGTGTCTTCGCACACAGTCAAAAAAAGGAGAAACGTTCGACTGGGAAAATGTTAGAATCTTAAAGAGAATATTAAAATAGTCAGTGGATTTTTAGAAGCTTAACATACAAGCCAATTAGCAATTAATAAACATATAGAAATCAATCCAATTTATTAATCAGTAATTAGGTCAAAGAGGTTGACCATCCAAATAATTACAAGAGAAAGGTTAACAACAACAACAATAACCAATCAAGCTTGATAGAATAGACTGTCAATTATGATGCAGAAATTTGAATAGCTTACTTCTATTTTAAATTTATGCTGTCGATATTACCCAGAAGGACTACGAAAAATTTATGATTAAACCACCAATCTCAAACAAAGGAACTCCATCTAAGTTATAATTCTTTCCTATCCTCTCGATTAAGTTATTCACAAAGTCTAATCATTGGCAGAATATTCTCAATGAACTCAGATAAATACACTTCAACGGTTCAGTTTACATGTTTAACATAAAGTATTTGTGTAATTTGATTACTTGAGGTGTTTTGTCACGTTATAAACCATTCAGATAACTTTCATAAATCGCATACTTGGTACACAAACGTGTATATAAAGCTATTCACTTGTAAAATGGATGTATAGAGTAACGTCTAGAACGTTTTACTAAAAGTACATTGATTATACATTCAGTAAAGAAATACGAATAAATTGATCCCTATTTATTTATTCTTTTATCCTATTTAATATAATTTTCTAGCTAGTTGAGAATAAGCGTATTGGTATCCCATTGTCTGTTTTATTCAATGGTTCTCCTGTTAATCCTTCAGATGCAATACCATCTCCTGTTCAGTCTTCGTTTGATACAAACGGTAAATATATTTGCTCACAAAGGAAACCTACTCAAAATGATAGTGATACACTTGATTATAGTAATCGTATTGCTGACAATAATGTTTGTAATAATAATTGGATCACTTCATATATGTATCAACAGCCTATAACAAATTCTTCATCATCATCAACAACCAATTCATGGTTAACTGAAAGCAATACATCTAGCAAAAAACAAATATTTGATGAATTGTTAGAATTTATATATAATGAATGTGTTGATGAAGTTCTATGCTATTCAAAATTTGCTCAAACTATTCTACTTGAAGAGATAATAATTAGTGAATTAATCGAGAAGTTAATTAAAGATTTTATTGAAGATCATCTAATTGATGTATGTTTTGTTCATGTTTTCTTTTATTTTGATTATCATCAATTGTTTCCTTTTTTTCTAGAATCATTGAGAAGTGTACTTAAGTAATTTAATGTTCACAAAAGATATATTCACATAGTACCAGTTATTTTATTGGAACTGAAAACCTTATAGATTTTCACTTTCTATCCCACTACGAAATGAATGTATTTACTGTGACGTATTAAATTGCTAGTCTATTCGTACCAGCATTTACCACTACGATGAATTGTTACACATCATTATAAACTCTCTATATTTTACTGCTATAGAACATATTCATCAATACATCCTTTTATATCTAATCTTGTCCCATCCTATTCCACAAATCTGTTACAAAATATTTTAGTCAATGTGCGTTTCTGTTGTAATCCTAGAGTTTTCTTATATATTTCTTAATAGATTGTTAGATATGGTTCATCAATCAAAATTCAGATCATAATTATCTGCTCTCCAAATATGCTTTTTTAGTCTACAATCCATCATCCTTAACTTTGACTAATTACGCGCTTCGATCGACAACGGCTGGTATTAAGCAATCATTATTTATTTGTATTTATTTGAAGACATAATTATTGGTAAAAAGGGGCACCGAATACATATGCACTACACAAGTCAAGTGACTTGTGTATGAGCTGTGATACTACTCGGATGCCGAAACCGAAGCAGGTGGTCTTCTTAGGGGGCCACAACCTGAGCCTTCGACTTAAAGGTCTGATCCACAGGGCGATGGAACAACGTCAAGAGATGCAGTCCCATGGTAGTCGGTCACAAATAGTTGGTTCACACGCCATTTGTTCCTTCCAGATACTGGAGCCAACCCATGTGCACCATTGGTTTGCAATCAAGGTTTTCCAACTCCACTAGATGGATCCTCCATATCCACCAACTCGGTTAATTAGCCGGACATTCGCTTTCTGTCCTCTGAATTTCTTAAGCAACAGTAGTGCCGCGAGAAGGCAGTGAGTAGGACTTTTCTGGCAGTGGTTGTGTATGCATGACCATGTGAGAGCACTTCGAGAGGTAGCTAACTCTCCCCACCCTCAGCCGTACCAGGGCGTTCGGGGGTAATTATGAGATAACATAAGAGGACTGTCTAATCAAAAAACACCTTTTATTCTACCCTAATATTCTGTTTAACAATAAAACATAACACAAGCAAACTTTACATCGTCATATTTCAAGTACTTATATGTTTCTACAAGTGAATTTTCAGGCTGCGATGCACCTCAAATAAGATATCACAATTTGTATACAATCACGACATAAGTGATAAAAAAATGGAAAAAGTGATAAATTAGTTAGCGACAGTTAAAGAATTGTATATAGTATAACAATGGTTAGTGAATCCAATGGGATTTTCAGACAAGAGGAATGTAGAAACATAACAAACCAGTTAGATGATAATTATATTATGAAAATATTCATATTAATAATTTGTAAAATAGTTCCTAAAAGCTACCTCAATAATCGTTCCTCTATAGCAATTTCATTAGTGATTCATTGTTAAATGACCATATCAACTTGCTAATACTGTCAAATGTTCCCAATTCGTTTATGTACGTTTTATATGGAGTATGCTTAAAGTATTGGCCTGAATATCGTATAAAAATCAGTTGTGTTGGTAATATAAATCACAGTCACTTTTCAACCAGTTAATTGAAGTGTTTCTAGATAACTGTCTCCGAATTGTTTTACTCTAAGTAATATCTGGATGTATATGTATATACTGCCAGGGAAGTCCTCACTAGCTTCTTGTGGCATTCCTGTTGTTTACGAAATTGAGACAAGGAAAAGCGGATGTCCGGCTGACTAGCCGGGTTGGTGGATATAAGGGATCCACCTAAGGAAGTTGGAAAACCCCTATCCCAAACCAATTGTGTACATGGGCTCCAGGATCTTGAAGGAACAAATGGCGTGTGAACTTATTGTTGGTCACCGGTTAGTATGGGACTGAATTCCCTGACGTTGCTCCACTGACTTATGGATTTGACCTTTAAGTCGAAGGCTCTGGGTGTGGCTTCCTAAGAAAACCACCTGCTTCAGTCTGGGTACCCATGCAGTATCACAGTTCACACATAAATCCAGTGACTTGTGTGGCGCTTATGTATTCGGTGCCCGTTTGTAACGATGTTTATGTTTTCAAATAAGTTAAAATATAGATTACTTTTGATGAATTTTTGTTCTCTGAGCTGGATGGTTCGGTCGTGGAGTTTTTATCGTTCTTCTGGACGACAGCATCAGCACAAACTTCAGACTTCTATCTGAAGTTTGTGCTGATGCTGTCGTCCAGAAGAACGATAAAAACTCCACGACCGAACCATCCAGCTCAGAGAACAAAACTCCATCAAAATCATCCACCTGAGCTACAAATCTTCTCCACCATCTCATATAGATTACTATTTATGTGACTATTAAAGATTTAGTTTTACTTTGATATATCCTGTGTTTCAAAAGGCTAATTCATTTCAGTATTTTGATCATTTTTATTTTATTTTATTAGCTTTTTAATAATAAATTAGATCCTGTTCGTCAAATATGTAAAGAAATCATGGAAAATGTAACGAATGAAACAATCAACTTAGATTTACGTGGTTTAGTTAATCGTGAATTGGATTTAGAATATCATTATGTAAGTTTATTTATTTATATTTTTAAAAAAACTCTTTCCTTAACCTTTAAAACACAGAAATTGTGAGATAACTAAATTTCTAACATTATTGTTTTATCAGAAGGGGTTTTGTGGAGATTTTAGCAATTTCAATATTTGCAATATTTCAATATTTACCGTCTAGTCACATGCAAGCTGTGCGCTGTATCACACGATTCGCCAGATATGTGGAGGTTTTCATAATCCAGTAGACCACCAGAAGAAAGAGAAATGGGAGAATAATCAACCGTTGCTTGGAACCGGTCCTCACTTGGGGTGCGTCTGTCAGCTATCCTCCATCCACGAATTTGTAGTGTAGTCCATCGTCAGAACTCTGCATGATGTTGACAGTTTTCTTAGGTACACCATAGTGTCGAAGAATGTTCTGTAAGACTCTTCCATCCACACTGTCGAACACCTCAGTCAATGAAGTTGATGTTTAGTGACGAGTTCCATTCAATTGATTGTTCAACGATGATCCGTAGTGTTGCGATTTGGTCTGTGCTCGACCGACACTTACGGATTCCGGTCTGTTGTTCACATAGTTGGACGTCTACTGAATCTTTCGCCCGGTTCCGCAACACTATTGAAAACGTTTCCTAGTATCGATAGTAGCATGATGCCTCTGTAGTCCTCACATTTGCCCAGATCTCTTCTCTTTGGTATCTTGATGAGGTGCCATTCTTTCTAGTCTGTCGGTGGCATTTTTTCTTCCAAATCTTCCTGAATAGAACATGGATCATGTTTGCAATTACTTCTATGTTTGCCTTGAGTGCTTCAGCTGGTATATTGTCAGGTCGTGGTGCCTTGCCACACTTGATTTGTCTGATTGCCATGCTGATTTCTTCGATCGTTGGTGAGGTAACAGCTATAGGGTGGTATGTGTGTGTTGCTTCAATATCCGATGGATTGAATGGATGTGGCCTATTCAAGAGTTCTTCGAAGTGTTCCACCAATCTGTTCCTACATTACTGAATTTCAGTGATTGGCTTGCTTTCTTTGTCCTTGACCGGTCGCTCTGGTTTACTTTATTTCCCTCCTAGTTTCTTCATCGTGTCATATGGTTGTTTCATATCCTTCTCTCACAGCTTTCCCCGCTGTCTTTGCTATCTCTCTCACATATTTCTACTTGTCAGCTCTAATTCTCTTCTTCGCTTGCTTGTGCCTTGACTTTCTATGTTCTTTTTCTACTATTGTTAATTACTGCCTTCTTGTTCTTCCTTCCTTAAATCCTGCCTTAGGTTTCGATAGAAATCCATTCCTTATGATGATGCTTCTTGCGGTCCAGAACCTCCTGACACGTTGAAGTTAGTGTTTCTATGATCCATTCCCAGTTGTTTTCTATAGTAGATCCCTCTTTGAATGGATCTTGTAAGGCTTGGAATCTATCGTTGAGAGTTATATTGAATTAGTTAAGTTTGTCAGTATCTCAAAGGAAGGATTTATTAAACCTTTGTAATGCAAAGGTACATAGAAAGAATATAATATACCAGACAAGATTAAACTGAAAGATTTCTTGTAATATACTCGAATTAGTTTATTTGTATTCCTAATTCTTCATTTTCAATTTTTCATTATCTAACAGAATGAATATTTCAATCAATTAATCAATGAACAATTACATCAATTGGCAATGTCTTCTTTAACTTTATCCATTGCTACTTCATTATATAATTATTCATTATTAAAATGTTGCTTTAATCGTTTTCATTATTTGATATGGAAACGTAATGAATTAATGGAACAAGAAATTTTATTAAATACAATGCCAACATCAGTTAGTAGTGATTGTTTGCCATTATGCTTAATGATTAATAATAATAATAATAATAATAATCATAATAATAATAATAATAATAATAATAATAATAATAATAATAATAATAATCAAATGAATACTAATGAAAATGTATCTACTTTCAAATTGTTGAAACATTCAAGTTATTCACGAATTTCATTGGAAATGCTAAAAGTAAGTTGGGTTTCTTGTTGTTGTTGTTGTTGTTGTTGTCGTCAATTACTAAGATGTATTTACAAAATCTATACTGCTTTATTTATTTATTTAAACACATAAACATTGGTACAAGGGGGTACCAAATAGATATGCGCTACATAAATCATTCGATTTGTGTGAGGGCTGTGATACTTCTCAAGTACCCAAAACGAAGCAGGTGGTTTTCTTACGGGGCCACACCCCGAACCTTCAATCTAAAGGTCTAATCCACAAGGTAGTGGAGCAACGTCACGAGATGCAGTCCCATGGTAGCCGGCATTTGTTCCTTCAGGATACTGGATCTCATCTACACCATTGATTTGGGATGAGGGTTTTACAACTCCACTAGATCGACACTCCACGTCCATCAACCCGATTAGAGCGTCAAACATTCGCTTTTCATATTCTCAATTTCGTAAACAATGCCCCCGTTGCGAGAAGGCAGTGAGTAGGAGTTCCCTGTCAGTGATTGTGTGCACGTGGCCATGTGAGAGCATTCCGAGAGGGAGAGCTAACTCTCCCCACCCTCGGCCGTACCAGGGCATTTGGAGTTTGAGTTCTAAACTGAAAGTTACATTTATCGAAAATGTAAAGTACATAAAATTGGTTTGAAATTATGAAAATCTAATATGTCGAACTATATGTCATGATGGAAAATTTAGTGGACGATGTAGTTAATTCGGTCTTTACATAGCGAATGTTTTAATTCTCTAGTATACAAATCTTTTCATAGTTCAAAATAAATTATGTCACATCATTTATTTTAAAATCTTCTATGACTTAATGTATGTAGCACCAATGTCTTACTTCGTATAAAATAAATGTTTACAAAAGCGTATACTTTATTACGATATCATCTACATCAAAGTCAGAAGAAATCTTAAAGCAGTCGCTATGACAGTCCATGAATTTGTACATGAACACTAATTTACACTATTTTTCTTATTCTTAATTTTCGATTTCATCTACGATATGTGATTTACATGAATTTTGTTGTTTGATGTAAAAAAATATATTACCACTTGGATTTCATCCATCCTTAGGCTGTCGTTCCATTTCCAAACTATGACATCTACTAGAAACAATTCAACACCCATTATGTTTTATTGTTTTGCTCTTCATATAATGTGTTGATTGTAACCCATTAGGCCGTTTTACTTGGTTATTGTACCATCATTTCACATCACATAATCGAACAGGAATACAATATTATTCACATGTCTTATGCCACTTTGAAAGTTCATTTTTTTGTCTTATGTTTTTATACTTCGTATAATATTAGTAAGGATTAGTAATCACTATTGTGGTGTATGCTACTTATGCTGACGGATATAAGTAGTGTGTAGCATCAGTCGGAAGTGGGAATGCCTGGAAGCAGGAAGATACTGAAATGAAGAGAATAGGAAGGAAATTCAAGAACAATCGAAACAACAACAGAATTAGAGGAATAGTGAAGTATGTAAGGGACAACGCAAAGAAAATTTGCAAATGATGTATTTAATGTATGATTATCATAGTTTACTAAGTTGCTGTATGATTTTTCATTGAAGTATGTATTAGATTTGAAGTTGTTTTTCATATTTTGCAAATGCTAATGATCATGATTGTTATGAACCCGTTGAAACAAGTTTCATATCAATCCTTTGTTCTTATATGTATTCTTCCTCTGTTCACTATTTTTAATTGTCAGACATTAAAAGTGTATATTCGTTTCGTATTTCAAGTAGACATCATACATCTGTAGTGGTATTTCTTAAGGTGGATCATGAAATATTGTAAGTTTGTGCTTTGTTTCTTTATCCCCTTCTTATTGGGGATGGTTGGAAGAAAGTTAGGGTCGGCCAAACTAAAATGTGGTATCAGTACTTTAAGTCACTAACTTCTAGTCTGAGCCATGTTAGTAGATGCAAACTACTTGGTTGAGGTCCGCGTGACTATCTTAACCAATAGTTGGAAACTCTGTGTGACATGGCTTAGAATCGATCACAATGGCGTAGGTGTATACACTCTTTTTCTTCCTCTAAACTATGAGATTAAAATTGCTTTATATCTTTCTTTCTACCAACTAATTCTTTCTTCCTGTACTATGTCCTCATATACAATCTTTCTTTTATATATTACCACCATTGAATTATGAATCCGGTGTTCATCTTGTTGTGCAAATGAGTGAGGTATGGCAAACTTCGACCGATGCATATATGTGCCTAATCCTACGTTATAGTTGACTGACTGAGGTATCTAAATCTGACTCATTTATAATATTCATCATGTTTTTGGCTAATACTGTGAGAGAGAACAAACCAGATCCCAGCGGAGGAAGAAATCAGGAAGAAGAGCTGGAAGTGGATAGGACACACATTGAGGAAAGCATCCAACTGCTTCACAAGACAAGCCCTCACTTGGAATCCTCAAGACCAAAGGAAAAGAGGAAGACCAAAGAACACATTACGCCGGGAAATGGAAATAGACATGAGAAAAAATGAACAAGAATTGGATGGAACTAGAAAAGAAGGCCCAGGACAGAGTGGGTTGGAGAATGCTGGTCAGCGGCCTATGCTCCATTGGGAGTAACAGGCATAAGTAAGTAAGTTTTTGGCTAATAATTAAATGAATATTAAAAGCACATTTTATTTGATATTTTCATTTGTTTGTTCATTTATATTCTTATTATTTACTTGTTTTCTCTAGTTAGATAATGAACTTACTTGGTCTCCTTTGAAACTATCCCCAATATTCTATAAATATCCATTAGGATTATATAAATCTATGTTGATACCTACTAATTATTGTTCAAGTATTATACAACAACATTTTACAAATATTTTTTATTGGATTACTGAAAAATTAAAACATTCACCTATAATTCTATTAAATGAATGGTCAAATTCATCAATAATATTCAATAAATTATCAGGTATTATCATCATTGGTTACTTTGATCATTCAATCACTAAAGAACAATTAATGTCCATGTATTCAACTGATATAATGAATAACTATGATAAAGATATAATTAATCGTTTATTGATTTTAGTTGTAACTTATTCATTACAAGAAATTCCTTGTTTATCATCATCATCATTTGAAAATGTACAGAATAATTATGACGATGATATCTATTTTGTACGTTTATGTAATCCTATTACATTTGGACAAAAAAAATTTCAACCTAGTCCATTTTGGTCAGTGAATTTACAGCATGGTCTTAATTGGATAGAAGAATGTTTTATGAAAAAAATTAATCATTTCAATCATAATGATCATTACACATTTCAAAATGGACATAATGCTAATGCAAAATATTCCTTGTTATCATCATCATCATCATCTCTATTGAATAGTGAAATTACCATCTTGTATACAAAGCTGTATAGTTTAATAAATGAATATATTGATATAGCATTATTACGTCCATTGGGTAATTTGTCTAAAAGTTGGAAGTTGCACGGGCTTGTTGATCCAGTAAGTAGATTACATGTGATGTAATTATTACATATACCATGCATTTAGCTAAACAAACTAAAAAATTTCATACACATAATAGTTCCCTTTATTATCTTAAATAGAGCAAGAACAAGAATTGGTGCAGAAATCTGATCGTAATATCATTATATCATCATTTCACTGAATATTTCGTAATACTGTCAGATGGTCTTTGGACTGCGGTATGGTTGAAATGAGATATTGGGTTGCGATATCAACTAGCTGAGATTTAAACCAGCCTTTCTTCTCTTCACTAACTGGGTGCCTTTCTTTAATTTGATCAAATAAATTCTCAAATTGAGTTTCTGTGTCGATTCTGTCGGCATGTATTTTTGGGATATGAAATTTAAATCCAAGCGGCAAAGCTTCTGACTTAACTTCACTATTGATAGATTATAAAGAAATTTTTCGGGGTTTTCCGGAAAACCAAAGTATAAGTGTTCCTTTGACAAAGTTCTTGCATATTTCGATTTGCAGACCGTGGACAAAGTTGATAAATTTTATGCGACATACGATACTTAGATCGTTGACTAATTCATCAAAGGCATTAGTTTCTGCCCTCAAACGTTCAGCCAGTAACTTTGTTGATTCTATGTGAGATTTTGTGATGCGCCGAAGAAATGTTTCGAATAATAGTAATGTATTTAATTGAAACAATCATAAATTGTTATTATGACTCTTACTGTCCCAATCAACATAGTTGTTTAAAGTAGTAATGTCCAAGCAGGTACTACCTTCAAAAAATGAAGCCAAAGAATTTTGGCTTGAGTTGGTAAATACCTTACAATGTTAAAAACGGAAATAATATTCTCGAAATATCACTATAAAAAATGTCACATGTAGTAGGCAAAAATTTGTGGTCAGATTGTGATAAAATAACCCTTTAAAATATGTTAGTTTATGTATCCTTCGTAGAGTGTGTGCTCTTTCTGATAGTCACCCATTTGAACATTATGGAAAGGTAAGATCTCGTATTAAAAAATGGTTATTTCTAACTGATAGGCGCTCATACTAGGTCATATATTGAACTGTCTGACTATTATGTCCACTTCCGATTAAAACAGCCCTCATATCTTGCTAGATAAATAATCGTATGGTTTATTTAAGTTTCTTTAAATAATAAATTGTTGGGCAATGAATATCAGTCTTTAAGAAAAAACAATCTCCAAACCGCTTGATAATGTTACGTTTCACGGTTATGTTAAATTGTGCTAGTGGACAGAGAATAAATACGTCTGTAATGCGAAAGTGTTCAAGACTTGGGGATGCTCAAAGAGTGGAAAGATTATTGTGATTGATTGCTTTTTAGTCATCTTCCTGGATGCTTCGGAAAATTTGTTTCTAACTTCTTAAAGATGTCAGTAATCAAGAGTTTTAAAAATATGAAGCTTTAATGACTAATTGACATAATTTGTTGTCTACAAGGAATTAGTCTTACTGAAATTATTCTTTTTTCTAAAAGAAATCTTATTACGACAACATTCCAGTCATATCAACTGCCTATTCTTACAGTTTGACACCACTCCTATTATTTCCAAATTATTCACAGTACGGTGACAGCTATTTTTAACGTACTACTACGTCGATAGCTGATGCTTACATTTACTGTCCAAATATTAACAAAGATATTGAAGGAAATGCCAAAAATGTGCACAGTTATCAAAATTACCCGTCAAAACGGAACCAAAACTGTCCACGGGAATATCAGAACTTTCGACTCACCTCCATGTATATTTCCCTGAATTAATCTAAGAAAATAAGTTTCATGTTGTTCGTGATTCATTTTCAAATTTCCTTAAAGTTTTCTTTTAATGGACACGATTTTCACGTACATTATGGTGTAATGTCTTGAAATCATAATTGATTATTGCCCTGAAGAAGTCGAGACACCTTTGTTAGATGAAACGTTGGAATTATTTAAATTTCAATCGTTGAAATGACTTCTGTATATTCGGCGCTTAATTTTTTTTGAAACTATTCGTTCTAATATTGACGAATATTCGTATAATTCATGATGAATTGTTTTAGAATACCAAATACTTCAATAAAACAGTTTATTTTCAACCAGTTTGAAGCATCCCTTTGAAAAATCAATATTAAACTTGTTAGGGCTTCACCATTCCATCTCCAGTCATGTTGTTGATATTGACACGAATGAGAAGAATGAACATTTATTTAGTGACAAAAGTTTATTTAAACAGAATTTACCCATTGAGACATAAAATAAGAAGGTTCATTTAACACTATCATTAGATTAACAGATTATCTTACATTACTTAGTGTATATTGATTAATCACTCTAATCTAAATAAACTAACTGATCAATCAACAACTTATTGTAGAACACTATTCTACTAATATCTTATAAATAAAAATGCCACAACCAATAAATATAATTGATTTAGATTATAAATCAATCGATATTAGACCACCATTGAAAACCTGAAAGTACTGGACAGCCATTTCGTCCTAGTAGATATTCATGGTCTCGCACACGTGATCCGAACCCAAGACCCTTGGCTTCGCGCGCTCAGTTCTAACCTCTAGTCTATTGATATATTATTTATTTAAACACATAAACATTGGTATAAGGAGGTATCGAATAGAGATGCGCCACATAAATCATTTGATTTGTCTGAGGGCTGGGATACTGCCTGGGTGCCTAAACCGTAGCAGGTGGTTATCTTAGAGGATCACACCTGCAGCCTTCAATCTGAGGTTCTGATCCCTAATGAAGTGGAGCGACGACAGGAGATGCAGTGCCATGGTATTCGGTGGCTAACGATTGGTTCGGGATACTGGAGCTCATGTGCACCATTGATTTGGAATGAAAGTTTTCCAACTCCCCTAGATGAACTCTCCGTGCCCACTGACCCGGTTAAATCGCCGGATATTCGCTTTTTGTCCTCTGACTTCCGTAAACAACAATAATGCGGCGATAAGGCAGTGAGTAGGAGTTCCATCTCAGTGATTTTATGCACGTGGCCATGTGAAAGCATTTCGAGATGGAGACTTGTCTCTCCCTACCAAAGCATTTGATTGCCCTAACCTATAAACCATTATTTAGCCAGTAATTAGCATGCGATCAATTCGATGATCTCAAATCAAAAATTAACAATTCTCCATTGAAGTTAGACATTAACACCATTGGATGCTGGCTCAGTGGTCTAGTTGGTTAGGTGCTTGGCGCGAGACTGATAGGTCCTGGGTTTGAATCTCGCGGGGTGCGGGATCGTGGATGTGCACTGTTGAGGAGTCCCATACTAGGACGAAACGGCCGTCCAGTGCTTCCAGGTTTTCCATGGTGGTCTAGCTTCAATTGACTCATGATTTCAATCTGTAAAATTTCTAAAATCTCCACAAATCCCTTCTGATAATTCTTCATAACTTCATAATGATTTATTATATTTCTTCTTCTATACATTTTAATTGTTTACTTTTTGACTTTCTTTTCTTTTTTGTTTTAATTTTCAGTCATTAAAATCTTTAATTAATGAATATCATTCTACAATCTCTTATTTATTGAATCAATTGAATCCTATTCATGAAACTCTTACGAATCTATTACAGAATATACTTATTCTACCAGAAAATATTCTTCATTTATTATTCATTGATTTATATGAAGAGAATAAAATAATGAATCAAGAAACTAATGAAGTTACCATAACAACTAAATGGAATATTTATCTTGAAAATTGGTTAATTATATCCAAACAATTAAAATTAAATTCATCAATTAAAAATTGGATATTGACATTATTTCATAACATTGAAAAAGATTATTTCATACAATTAAAAAATCAATTATTCAATTCTATTATTTATTCATCATCATCATCATCAATGAAGAAGAATAAATTATATTTACCGCCAATTTATTTAGCGCCTAATTTAAATGTATTTTTTGTTTTAATTTATCATTGTTTAAATAATTTATCAAAATTATTATTAACTATGAATAATGAATTATGTAATCATAATCATAATAATAGTGAAGAATTTAATAAATTAATTGAAATGTCATGTATTATAACAAAGTTAATTGATCAAATGAAATCAAACAATATTGTAAATCAGTTAATTGAACACTTCAAAAAATTAGGTAAGTGTAATATATATATATATATATATATATATATATATATATATATATATAATCTTTTATTAATAAATAAAAACATGCAGACTCTTCTGATAGATGATAGATACAGACTACTTGGTTGAGGTCCACATGACTATCGTAACCAATGATTGGAAACTCTGAGTGACATGGTTCAGAATTGCTCATACTCATTGTCTTTCATGAAATTATGAGATTAAAATTACTTTATACTTTACCTTCTTCCTGTACTATATTCTTATATACAATCTTTCTTTTATATATTACTAGTATCGAAGTCACTACTTCTATTAATTCAGTGTTCATCTTGCTGTGCTAATGAGTGAGGTGTGGTAACTTGGATCGATGCATATATGTGCCTGGTCCTATGTTATAGCTGATTGACTGACTGAGAGTCTTCTGACTACTGTAAGCAACAATGCAAGCATGTTCGGCATGCGATTCTCCCCATTCTCGAAATGCAAAATGTTGCTTCAGGATTAGGTTGAATCGACACCTGAACTAATGGTAGAAAGTAAAGTAGTAGAACGTGTCGACTGCTTCACTTATCTTGAAAATCTCATCAGCCCTTGTGGTCTGGTGTGTGACGAAATCTCAGCACGGATACAGAAGGCTTAACTAGCTTTTGCCAACTTGCGTCATTCATGGCGTAGGCGAAATATCCATCTACCAACCAAATGACGGGTTTACTGCGCAACAGTTTGTTCCGTCCTACTTTATGGCTGTGACACATGGCCCGTTACGTATACCCAACCACCAATAGAAGTGATCAAATAATTCTAAGTTTCCTTGTTGTAATTATAGAGATTAACTAAGAGGATTCGACCGTTGTTGCTACCGTGACGTGATGGTCGGGCTTGCCTATCGTGATGAACCAACCGAGCTATACTGGCTGGAACAACCGTTCCTCAAATTCCTACCATGCCGGACAGGTCGGTTGAAGAGCGGTAAGACTAAAAGCAACAAACCTAAGGTCTGAAGGCGAAGTCATACTACTGACTGTACAGAGGTGCGGCAGCAGTAAGATGTTTCCTTCAGACAACCAGCATGACAGCGATGCTGCCTTCCCACAAGGAGAGATGGAGTTAGAAAAGGTCGACCCTAAAAATGCACACCTCGCCTTATCCCACGGATATTCGTTTCCGGCGGTAAGGTCTCAACAAGTGCGGAGCTAACACAAAAATTACCCACATAAAGATCGTGTGTGACCGACCTCAAGCAGTTGTCCTTTGGGCACTGCGGTCACGCTCTCAGGTCACTAAGACCACTACTAATCCAATTTTCATTTCAAGTACCTCTAGACCGAGGCCTTCCGCAGTGTGAGCAACCGGAAAGTGATAACCGCCCTCACACCACTCAAGATCACAAACTAAGAGGAATAGTTCTGTATATTAACTGACTTGTTTCTCTTTTACATATGATAATATTTTGTTGTTGTTGTTGTTTATTTTAGATGAACCATGTATGACACGTTCAAATGCAATTAATTTATCATTAGATCATTTACGTAGAAATCAAATAGAAACTTGTTTACAATCTGTACGTAAACAAAATTCATTTACATCCATTGAACACAAAGAATCATTATCAATGAAAATGTATCAATTATCTTCAAAAATTCGTAAAATTGAAAATTCTATGAATGATGCCATTAAAGAAACAATGGAATATCAATTAAAAAACAATTCCCCTAACTGAAGAAAATCTTTATATATTTTGATTTTCTTCACTTCAATAATAGATTATGTAATTCTCTATAGTTGTTGTTTTTATTATTATTATTATTGTACATTCGTTTTATTTTATATCATTTTTTTAATGTATAATTAGCCTGTACACTTGAATAACTTTTACATCCTTAATGTATTTGAGAATTCTTCATTGTTCTATACAGAGTTCTTATAAATTCTTCACCCCTCCGCTCGCTTTTCCCTTGCTTCTTCTCACCATTCGAACGTTTATCGTTACCAAATAAGTAGGCCTTCAAATGCCCTGGTACGGCCGAGAGTGGGGAGGGCCCTCTCTCGTTCTCAAAGTGTTCACACACGACCACGCGTACACAGCCTCTACCAGGGAAGTCCTAATCACTGCCTTCTCGCGGCATTACTGTTGTTTACGAAATTGAGAAGACGAGAAGCGAATGTCCGCCGCTTTAACCAGGCCGGTGGACACGGTGAGTACACCTAGAGGAGTTGGGAAACCCTGATTCCAAACCAATGGTTCACATGGGCTCTAGTATCCTGAAAGAATAAATGGCGTATTAACCAATCGTTGGTGACTGGCTACCATGTGACTGCATCATCTCACGATGATCCACTGTCTTGTGGGTTAGACCTTTAATTCAAAGGCTCGGGGTATGGTCCCCCAAGGGAACCACCTGTTTCGGTTTGGGCACCCGGGCAGTATCACAGCCCTCACACAAATCTGATGAGATGACAATTAATAAGTAATAAGGTGAATATCGGTTAACGTCATCATAAGACCTAGCACAAATATGTATTGGTTCAAGTTTACACATCGCATTATTATCACGGTGACTGAGAAAATTAGTAAGACATAAAGTAAGGGAGGGGAGTTAATTTTAAGTTTAATGAAAATCTAAAGATAATGAATATACTTCAATGAAACAAATGAGACGAAAGGATGGATAGCTAGGTCAGTCAGTAACAATGTAGAACTTCGTACGTACATTCATCAGTTCGAGTTGCCATACTAGATAAGCATACAGGTACAATTGTCGATTCAAATCCCATAGTGGTAGAGGTAGTAAGAGTATAAGCAGTAATCGGAAAGATTAGAGTTTGAAGATGTTATTCAAGGAGTATAATCCAGTGAGATAAATTTGAAAAGAGAAAAAATAAGGGACATGAATGTTATATCTTGTCAGTTGAATGCTACTTGTTATATCTGGTCGTCGCTAATTGTTATGTTGAAACACTTATACTCGGAACGAGGGACCTCTGCAATTCTCACGACTCGAAAGTAAGAACGCAAAGACTGGCATAAGTGAAGCTTTATTAACACCAAAACACGATGAAAACTATTCTAGTAGAAAATACACTCAATTATATATTGATTGTACACCCATCTTAATTAATAATTAGGATGAATCCACATTTATGAAAAATACTTAGAGTTATAACAAATCACATATATGAGCATAGTTCATATCAATGGAATACAAGAATATCGTATATTATACAAAAAAAATATCATACCGGGAAAACAAAACAAGTATTACATTGAATCAAAACGGAAGTAATCTTGAACCAAAACTCATAATGAGTAAACCAATCGATTTTTTACTTTTCTTCCCGTCATATCAATGAGGAATTCAGAAGATTAGAATTTAGGAGAACACAAAGAGTGGATGCACGTGCGCCATTGCAAACGATTTTGAGCCATGTTATTCAAGGTCTCTAACCATCAGTTGCTATCGTTTCACGGATCCCAACCAGGTAGTCTACATGGATAGCTAGGAATAACGTTTTATTCAAAATCAGTAATTGAGATCGACTTTGTACTGTGTCATCTAACTCCTTGAACTATTGGATGTCGGGGGATTAACAGTTAATTCTTAGCAATCGAAATAACTTGGTCTCTGAATTATACGTTAGATGTGCTTTTTACTAGATTTAAACAGACCTTGTATTGAAGTCATTGAACATGTTTACTTCAGATTAAGTTATCCTTTCGTAATTATTCTCTATCGTTCTTACGAATATATACTTATTAAAATGTAGTGTAATTGTACCATCCTCTTGTTTGACGTCACAACATTTCGTCCAAAGTAGGTGGATAGTTTCATCCCTATAGATCAGAAAAGATAATCTGGATTCCCAAGAAACATAACGTACTCACTCTGAAGTTCACGACACTCAGCACATCTTTTCTGTTATTCTTGTGGATCCGTAGATAAACTTCTTGATGATTGTAACTTTTCATGTTTTTGAACTTGCAAGATTATGTTCACCCAGTCAGTATTTTATGGACTCAAATATTCTGTCATCTGACTTGTTGTGTAGAGCACGCACGCTGTAAAACTGAAATTTATTTCCATATCTTTTGTTTCACATTTTTGTCGGTACAATATATCGGGCGAAACCAAATCGGATTTTCAAGGTCGTACAGTAGGTCAGACAAAATTGTAGGTATGCTATAATAAGTAAGTCATTCATCTAGCCTATGTTAACATATCTCTTTCAGAGTCAATGTGTCTGTTTGTAAATACTTTTATTTTGATTGGGTCAGTTGAACGTTTGAAACGCGAATGGTGAACAAACTGGACTATCTATCGTAACAACGTTCTGGTAACGGTAGTTCAAAAACAATTAAATGAATCCATCAGATTCATTAGAACTCCAATCACTTTAAAAGCAGCACTATAGCTTTGACCAAGTGTGATACTGAGGCCCTCACTTCTATCCAATCCAGCTCCATTGTCTCGTTTAATATGATTAAATGACAGCATTGTTGTTTCATTATGGTTTTAGGACGTGCGACATTTAGTTCTCAGTTTAAAAATTATAAAACTGTAACCAATTGTGATTCAGAATGGAAATATATGTGATCAAATTATCAACCCTCTTGTCTGTTATTAAATAAGTATGAACTGTTAAACATTATGAATTCGTACACCTTGGAAAACCTGGAAGCACTGGATGGCCGTTTCGTCCTATTGTAGAACTCCTCAGTAGTGTGCATCCATAGTGATATAGCTTTAAATGACTCATGATCTCAACTATTAAAATTACTATAATATCTGTAAAACCCCTTCTGATACTTCCTTATTATCATACGATGTGTGATTCGATAAAAATCTGCCAATCTTATAAATACATATTTACTTTTCTCTATAAATACGAGGTATAATGAAACAATCAACAGTTTTAAAATTTAATATACGAGGCTTCATGATCAATCGATCGATTTAATTCTAGGTGATCATGAATCTCAGAAATGGTTTCATTAAATTTATTTACGTATGTAATATCTACGTTCGTGAATAAGTGAGGTTGGATTGTTCCAGCTTTCAATCGATTGAACTAGAAATGCTTATTTTTAGTATGTGTTTACAAAGTTAGTAGTATTGGAAATTGGGATATTTGAAAAGACACTCACGTAATTTTCAGTGAATGTAATAGATATGCTGAAGTAAAAAGGTGCATTGTAAAGCTTCCGTGGATCATGATATGAATAATTAGTTTAGCATAACGATAAGAATGGATTCCTCCTAACAACACAGTAGTCAACCACAAATAAAATTGCTTCTTTCCAGTAACTTATGTCTCAATGTGTTGAGGAATATCAGAAGACAACATCTATAGGGAATTATTATTCAGCAGAAGATACAATTCTTTACATACATTTTCCACGTACTGATTCGATGTCAGAATGAACTACCCGGTAAGATTACTCCGAACACATAGCAACATGGATCAAAATACAAAATGGAAAATTTCATACCTCAATGGCCTAAAATGTTAGCCTATATTTTCGTCACAGTTTTGAAACTAATAACCCCTTTATTTGGTAATGACTGGCCTGCATCAACACCTGAACTAAGGATAGGGAATGAAGTAGTCGACAACTTCGCTTATCTTGAAAGTGTGATTAGTCCTAGTGGGTTGATGTCTGATAAATTATCTGCACGAACCCAAAAATCTCGTCTGTCTTTTGCCAACTTACGTCACTTATGCGAAAGCGAGATATCCGTCTACCAATTAAGGGACGAGTATACTGCCCAGCAGTTCGGTTTGTTTTACTTTAAGACTGCGAAATGTGGCCATCAAGAGTAGAGGATGCTCGTCAGTTACCAGTATTTGACTACAGATGTATTAGAAGTGTTGCTTGCATCTGTTCGAATCACTGGATAGGTAATAATGAAGTTAGATGCATGGTATTAGGGAATGATTTCTAGTTATGTCCATAACTAACCAATCAAATCCTTGCTTAAGCGCCCACCACGTCAATCTTGTCTGATTTGTCCGTAGACTATCTCAGTTGCATGTGACCTGCCAATTGACGGACATTATCATCCTATTGTATTAGTGTGACTCCATTTTTATTCACTTCGATAAGAAATCCAATATTGATCGGTGTGTTTGTGCGTTCCACTTAATGACTATAATTCCTTTAATTATTGTACTAATCTAATTGCTTTTACGCTTAGAAACAGATAAAGTTTAAAGCTAAGTTGTCCTTGTTCTGACTATAGCTTTCACATAGACTCTGGGATCGCCAGTACCGCGTTTACAGTTCTAGTAGTATATCTGTAGGACAAATTAAATCCTTCAATGATGGTAAGTTGGTTGATGAGGTTGTGAATCTTCATCGGCCGAGGTGGTTGAGCTACGTGTACACATGCCCAACCACCAATTGCCACGGCCTGCAATGCTGATCAGTTTTGGAGACGGATGGAAGAAAATTAGGGGCGGAAAAACCAAAATGTGGCATCGATCCCTAAAGTCGCTACCTTGTGGTGTAAGCCATGTAGGTAGATGCAGATTACTTGGTTGGAGTCAGCGCGACTTTTATAACCGGTGGTTGTAGACTGTGGGTGGCATAGCTGAGAATCGGTCACAATAGAGTAGGTATGTGGACTATTTGTATTCCCTTGAACCGTGAGATTGAAGTAACTGCTTCTATGAATTTAGTGCTCATCTTGTGCTAATGAGGTGTGGCAACTTGGACCGATA